AGTAAACAGAGAGGGGGACCGATGACACGGATCTACATATAACCCCTCCCTGGGGGATGGACAACAGAAAAGTGGGTGAAGGGAGACATCAGACAGTGTAAGATATGACAAAATAATAATTTGTAAATTATCAAGGGCTCATGAGGGAGGGGGAGCAGGGAGGGAGGGGGGAAATGAGGAGCTGATATCAAGGGCTCAAATAGAAAGAAAATGTTTTGAGAATGATGAGGGCAACAAATGTACAAATGTGCTTGACACAATGGATGGATGGATGGATTGTGATAAGAATTGTATAAGCCCGCAATAAAATGTTTTTAAAGAAATAAGAGAGAGAAAAGCAGGGTTTGAGCTGGCTCAAACGGGTTCAGTCATGGTCTGTGTTGTAAAATCAGAACAGACTAGAACTGTAAAATCTAGGTGTGTCAGAACAATAACTGGAATGGGAAAAATTACACAAGTTGAAGCATTAGAACGGGAGATTAAAGGTGTGTACCGAGGCCCTTCAGTGGCTTGCTGCAGGCTACCACAGAGAGCAGCACACATTCAAAGACACACAGTCGGCTGCCATTTTTAAGCCGGCCACTGTTGTTTCTGACTCTGCTGAACAGGAGGTGCAGTTGTTGTGAAATGAGCACGCTGCCCTTTTTTCTAGGAAGAAAACTAAGTTTCTAGCAAAATGACTTTTTAAAAAACTTCGTTGTAAATAGGGTAACATTTGCAGAGCAGATCTATTTTCCATATACAACAATTCATACATGTTCTGTTTCAGTCATTGATAGCAACCCAATGTAATATCTCATTTCTCCCATTGCCCCCTTGTGTTTTCTGTTTCCACTCCTTTGTCTTTCCTACCCATGTTTGCCTTGTGAGTTTTTCCTTGGACAAATACTGCCCTTATGATGTCAAAGGGTTGATTATTCTAAGGAGTGAATATCTCACTAGTGTTACCTTTTGCCTTACTGACTTCTCTGCTGTTTGCCTAAAGATTGAGCTACAGGCAGGAGTTCATTTCTAGACCTGAAAAGTGACTGATGACCAGAGTCTCAGAGGTTCCACCAGTCTCTAGTTAGCCAGGAAGTCAGAGTGATTGTTATTTTCTTCAGATGTTCAGTTTTGTTCCACATTTTTCTCCCACTCTGCCTCTCCAGGACTCTCTATTGTGATTTCCTGCAGGGGGGTCATCAGTGATGGCTGAGCTTAGTTGTTCTGGATTCAAGGTGTTAGCTCATCCATGTTCTCCCATTCCACTTATTGTTCCACACTCACATCTTACTGATGCAGGCCCGTTGTGGCTTTGCTTCATCAGCCATACCTCCACCTGGAAGAACTGATGCGAAGGCCAGGAGAAAAGCGAATGATGCTGAATTCACAGGAGAACACAACCTGAGTTTCCTTGCAGTATTTCAAGCAATACATGCGTTACCTGAGTACATGGATACACGGACTCCAGAAAGGAAAAAAAATACAAGAAAGAATGGCCAAGTTCCACTGGAGATCCCCTTGCAGAGGGGTCTCGGGGAGGAGATGAGCCAGTCAGGGTGCGATGCAACAATGATGAGAAATACAACCTTCCTCTAGTTCCTAAAGGTTTCCTCCCCGCTCCCACGACCATGACTCGAATTCTATCTTGCAAGACTGGCTAGACCAGAGGAGGTACACTGGTACAGATAGGAACTGAAAATACAGGGAATCCAGGACGGATGAGCCCTATAGGACCAGTGGTGTGAGTGGCAAAACAGGGAGGGTAAAGGGAGAATGGGTAGGAAAGAGGGAACCGATTACATGGAACTGTGTGTGACCTTCTCCCTGGGGGACAGACAACCGAAAAGTGGATGAAGGGAGACGTCGGACAGGGCAAGATATGACAAAATACCCATTTATAAACTATCAAGGGCTCATGCGGGAGGGGGGAGCGGGGAGGGAGGGGAAAAATGAGGACCTAATATCGGGGGTTTAAATGGAGAGAAAATGTTCTGAGAAACGATGTACAAATGCTCTTTACACAATTGATGTGTGTATGGATTGGGATAACAGTTGTATGAGCCCCTAATAAAATGTTAAAAAAAAAAAAAAAGAATGGCCAAGTTTTCAGGGAGCACATACAATATGGAGAAAAATTAAGAACGTGCCTTGTCAGTGGTAAAGTCGGATCCAAACGCTCACAGTTAGAGTGCTCTCTGCACATCTTGTGGCGTGTTCCATCTAAAGCCTATTAGTGATGTTCTCCTTTCTTCCCATTGACTTATAGTACTTTCTGCGTTGTGTTTCAGTGTCATTTAATGTCATTTTATGACTCCCCGGTTGTAAGTGTCTGAGTTTTACCAGGGCTTAGAGATTTACAGCCTATTTTAAACTCAGATAATGATGTTTAATTTGTTATTGGCTGTGTAAAGGTTAACAAAGAAATAACTCAAATTATCATCTCAGGGATAACACATTTCAAGAGGGCAATTAAGCACAGTACCTGGCATTACACAAAAGATGGATATCTCGTTACAAGGGTGCAGATGCGTTCAGAGTTCACAATACAGGAAATGCGCTCATCACCACGGGCTCTCTCTGAATAAACAAATAGCGGGTCCCACTTATCAGTGCCCCAGAGCAGCTAGCGGGGAAAGAAAAACTTTTCAAGAAAAAGGAAGATTGACATACAGCCAATTTCTGGTAGGAGAGCTGGAGAGGAAAGAAAGAAACTTAGTATTCTAGAGAAAATTAGACTGACACTACCCAAGTAAACGATTATGTTCCTCTTGGTTGTAAACAGGCCATACGAACAGGCCAGCAAAACAGACTTGTAGTCGATAGGCCCTGATGAAGAGGAAGCAAAATAAAGCATCAAAGCCAAATCGTTATTAAATAGTTTCTGAGATGAGGTGGGGTACGGGGTGGGGAAAATCCCTCGCCATAACCATTTTTGTCTCTTTTCTTCTCCTCAAAATACCTTTCCGGGGTGATTTGGCCGACATTCCACGGGTTAAGGTGGCAATGATCATGTAAATAATCTTTTTTAAAAAAAAACGAAACTCCTCAGTTAGAGATCTATTGTTTCTTCTCCAGCTCTCTCTCTCTCTGAAGTCAACCCGTAGGGGTAGCATACCTCATGCAGAATCTCTTCTGACGAGGCGTGTATTTGCCCTCCCTCAAAAAGGACTTCCTTTCCTCCCAGATTCGTTTTCCATCCTTTCTGATTCGCCCTTCGGCAGCCGTAGGCTCTCTCCTTCTGGCTTTGTTCTTTCCTGTTCTTACTTGAGCGCTAAGCTTTCTTTTCTTTTCTTGTTCCCCTTGGGCCTCCGGTCTTCCAAACCTCCCCAGGTTGTCTTTTCCATGAGACGTTCTCGGCGCCTATACCCTCCGACTTTTTCTCTTGGTCCGTCTTCTCGCCTGTCCTTCTGCCGAGTTCTCTCATCATCCCACTTCTCATGGGTACTCCCATGGCCGCGTCCTCCCGCTCCCACTACATTTCTGCAGTCTCACTTCGTTGGGGACATTCAAACCCTTCTGCATTTGGAACGTGACATTTAAGCAACGTCTCTGAGATGCAAGTTCCCCCAATTTACCTGACCTCAGAGCTCACCACAGCAACAGGGGAACTGCCCACCCGGCAGAAGACCACTGAGCATCCAGCAACTCATAAGCAGGCCATGAAAATTGCAAAAATCACAATTTTACTGTCCTAGTAAATTTCTGGAGTCCTGGAACCTCCTAAATTACAGTCAACGAGAGTCTGGCATTTCCAGGCCTGACTCCCATATCAATGCCATTCGGGGGGACTTGGGACAGGTCCAGCATTCTGTTTGGCATCGCAGCTTTTTGCTGTCAAGGGAAAGAAACCAGGGAGAACACATATGGTTTGCCACCAGGCACCACAGTTTTGGCTTGCCCAATTGACAAAGCAACAGAAACGCTAGCTACACCACCAGCGCGCGCCTCACCGAATAGCCCTGACACCGCGCACGCATATTTGGGGTCCGGTGTTAAGCCGTGTGGTCCCTATCATCTGAGCACATGCCTCCTGGAATCGGGCACCAGCAATGCACACCAGTGTTAATGGGTGAGAAAAATAAGACAGTCCAATTCAACTAACCTCTGTTGACACATAAATAAACTTTCTATTCATTTGCTTCTTTCATCAACTGGCTGTATCTTGGTACTATTACCCCCTAACAAATGGAACTGTTAGTATTTCATAAGGTTGTGTGCATTCTGGTCGTCTTGAATGTCACACCGGGGAGTGGAGTCCAGACAACACTGCCATGTGGGAATACCTGTGATCAAGGGACAGTGCATTAGCTAAGCAAACTAACCCTGGAACTGAAACATAAACAAAAGGATGAAATAAATATACAAAGTGTTCTTCCATGTGGACGTTAGCCAGGCATTTGTCCTTTAGCCAACAACAATCAACAGGCACAAGACAACTGCCAAAACAAAAAAAAATACCAGCTGAGGAGCTGGCCCAGGAGATAAATAGTAAAGAAAAGTTGTTGCATCACGGATAGGCAGCAAATGGTCCGGCTCTGGGAAGTGAGTGGTGAAGTCGAATGTAGGAGCAAGGTGGGGGGGAAAGTCAGGCCAACCCCAAGGATGGGTCCTAATGGCGAATAAAGCCTTAAGATATAAAGTTTGCTTGAGCATATGATTCCTAGCATGAGAAGCAATCACACGGCATCTGAGGCACCTGAGAAGATAGAACAAAATATATACTCAGAGATATAATAAGACATTGGGCCAGACAATGGCTCACTACGGGTTCACAAAGGGTTCACTTTCTGTCAAATACTGCCAAGCTGTTCACCCAGATGGGAAGGGGAAGGGAAGGCAAAGGGAAGTAAACATAGGCTAGTGTCTTAGAAGATTAGATCCTACCTGTACTGAGAGAGGAAGAGGGAAAAGAAGCTGATGAAAAGAAATCTGGCTAGAGGGATCTATGGAAGGAAATTTACCCCATGTTATTAGTGGTTATTCCTAACTGGGAGGGTTATATGTGACTCCCTACCCACCTGTCCCTCATAACTATAGCTTTGACTTAACATTCTCAATGGAACCTATGTAAAAGAAAATAGGTTTAATTAAACCTTTTTTATTTCATTGTGCTACCTCTTTTCATTCCTCATGCCTGCACCGCTGGTCCCCAAGCAGCCTCTGGATCCTCACAGTGCTGCTCACCTGGGAGACCAGAAAGTATGACAGAGAAAATTGGGAGGAAATCCATCGTATTTGCTAGTATTACCATGAGAAGTAAGAAAGCACCCGTCGTCTGCAGCATTAGGGTGAGAAGACCCTCAGGCCCACCCCACTGCGGCTTCACCAACACAAACATCAGTTGCCTGGGCGGCCACGAAGACTGCTCGTGGCCTCCCGTGGCCTCCCGTGTGTCCATGCACAGCGGGGCTCCGTGGGGTTTTCAATGGCTGAACTTGGATGAAGATGGCCCAGCCCTTCTTCTGAGGTGCCTCTGGGTAGACTCCAACCTCCACCCTTTCCTGGGGCCGCCAAGCATGCTGTGTGCACCGCCCTGCGGCTCTGGATGGAGCGTAGATGAAGCAAATGAGGTGTTCAGAAAGAGGAAGCCAGAGCTTGCCTGAAAGGTGGGCCCAGAGTCCCCAGCACACTGTCAGGAGACCACGGTGGATGCTAACCCTGCGACCTCCTGGTCAAAGGCTAGTGAAGAAGTCGGCTGGGGGAGGAGGGTGGGATAGAGAGTTGGACTTGATGGGAGGTGGATTTTGTTTTGTTCCATCCTTGGAGAAGGGTGTTAGAGAAAAAATTATTGATGAACTACTTTGTCATCGTTAACAGTATTGCTGACATACTCACAGCAGGCCCACTGCGAGGCAGACAGCGCCGTGTCTACCGAATGCCTTTTGTAGCTGAGACATGTGCTGCGCATTAGGTAAGGTGTGTAAATTATGACAGCCCGAGTTCTCCGGCGAAGGCCCAGGTCTGAGCAGTTCCCTGCCTCCTTTGCCCCTTTGTGTTCTCTTTCCCCCTGGCACTTGCCTCAAAGCCAGGGGAACTCCTCAGAGAGAACATTAACAGGCAGAGGCTCTGGCTTGGAGTAAATATTGCAGGATTGAAATGCGGAGGGAATTATACTTCTTTCCCTCGCAGGCTTTGGAGTGCTGGGTGAGAAATAAATAATGAGGGTAATAATGGGCCCGATTCTTCCCGGCTGCGCCTCTCCCCCTGGGTGTGGAGCGCCTTCTAAAGTCAGAGGGCGTCTGCTTTTAGCGATGGATTCCACCTCGAAGCCAACCAGCTCGCCAGCCTGGGTCAGGAGAGCAGGAGGCTTGAAGAGGCCATACCGGCCCGGGGACAGTTCCCACCGGCTTCCTCAGGCAGGGGGAGGACTCCTGGTCCTCATTTTGCACACAGGGGCCGCAGAGACAAAGAGAGCTTCCAATTGGCCATTGAGAAATGGGCTTCAGGCCTGGACTCTAAGACATGAATTGAGTTGCTCCACTCTCTCCCTCGGCAAGTCTCCTGAAGACTCGAGGGGAAATGGAGCTTGGAGGGTGGGGGACATTTGCGATGGGTTCCTAAGTGCTCCAGTTTACCCTCAGACACAGCCCTCTACGAACACCTGCGGAGTAGTGGTCGGAAAGGTTCAAACCCTTCTCCAAATAAGTTCATTGTTCCTCCTTCCTCCTCTCCTCACCTCTAACCATGGTGACTCTGTTGTTTTCTTTTTTATTACTATTATTTTAACTGGTCTTTATTGGTTACTGAAAAATAGAGGCCACTTTCATTTTTAAAGAAAAAAAGTAGTATAATGTTGCTTGCAATTGTGGTTCTTTTTAAAAAAATCACTTTATTGGGGGCTCATACCTCCATTTCCCCCCACCATTTCCAACTCTGGCCCTAAGAGAAGGGTGTGAGTGTATTTTTCAATGACTGACAAGTGATTAAAAACTCAAAATAAACTCACTGCCATCGAGTCAATTCCAAACCATAGCAACCCTGTACCCCAGAGTAGAAGTGCCCCTTTGATTTTCCCAGACTTTAAATCTTAACAAAAGCAGACAGCCTCATCTTTCTCTCACACAGTGGCAGGTGGGTTCGAACTGCTGACCGTGTGGTTAGCAGCTCAATGTACAGCCCACTATGCTACCAGGGCTCCTAATAGGTGGCTAAAGCTGCAGAATACAAAACCTGCCGCACTTACACTCTGGAAATCAGACCCAGCTTCAGAGAGGTGGCCACTGCAGCTGCCATCTCTGTGGTGAGCATGGCATATGGGGACCACCCTGATTAGAGAGCAGGTTGGATTCTGAAGCAGTCTAAGAAAGCCCCGGAAGTGGTCGGAGCACTCTTACAAGAGCCGGTTTGCTGGATGGTGGTGCAGCTCTTAGATCACAGAGCAGTCAATATAGGCCAGAGGAGGGATGCTCCCACCTCCACATGCCCCTGACACCCATGAGCTGACTCCAGGCGAAGGCTGAATTTGTTGCAAGCCTCGTCCTCAGAGGGAACCCTTACTGACCATCTCCACCACCAAAATCAAGAGTCTTCTCAGCTGAACCAGCCCAGCTTCTCCTGAAAAATCATCTCTCTGGCGAAGCACCAAGAGAACAATTAGAGATTAACCCAAGTACACTTGCCAGCAAGAGTTCCGAGTCCCAAGAGGAATGGGGGGAGCAGGGGCAGCTTGTACCGTAGCTCTTTGTCTCTGAAACTCCCTCTTCTTTGTTTTATCTTGTTAGAAGACCCTTTTTCCTACCCCTGTGCTGAGAGCTTTAGCTTCTGGGTGTCATTTAACTGTTAATTTTTTTCTTATGCCCAAAGGCCTTAGGACATGGAGACATGCTACAAACTGGGGGAAGGGTGGGAGGAGATGGAGGGGGTAGGTGAGTTGGATATGAAGGGAGAGAGGTGGGAGTTGGAGATTAAAACTGATCAAAATAAAATCTATGTGTGCAGTCAGTTGTTATTTTATCAATACTTACAAATCTTTACACATTAGTTTTTCCTGCAACACACTCATAATTCCGTTAACAGCCTGTCTCCAGCCCGGCATTCAATTGGTAAAGATTATCAGAAGGAAAATTGACAGGGTAGAGTTGTATCAATATTTGTGTTGATGCCCAACTTCCCAGTTGGACTTCAAGTGCACACGCCCTCAGCTATGGCGATCGGGCTAAAATCAAAATGCTCCCTTAGTTAACATTGCCTATTAGAATTATTCAGCCAAAATGTAAAACATTGGTAAGTCCCTCCCAAGGGCACTTAAGCTCCTTAACACTCCAAATGGTAGCTTCATAACCAGGGCTGAGAGATGGGTGTGATGGCTCAAAGCACGCCCCGCATCACCCAGTCGCATCGAATCTATTTCCAAAGAGTAAAATGGAATTATCTTTAATTTCTTCATCTAGCGCAACAGTCCCAGGAGGTTGGCAGTATTCCTTTGAGGTAGACAAGAGACACGGCGAAGACAACTGAGGCATGGAGAGGAAGAGTCCTCTGCCCAGAAACACCGGTTTCATAGCAAAAATCAAATTGATTGGCACAGAATTCCCTTTTCTTTAGCTAACATGCTTTCTACCAACTCATGGAAAAGGCCACGGGACATCGCTAAACATTTACTTGGATATTAAAGAATAGCTGGATTATTTTTTCAGGTATTTTCTGTGTTTACGTCCACAGCAAAAAAATTGTACTAGAGCGAGTGTGTGATGTTTATTTATTTATTTAATGGGAAGCGTTTTCAATTATGCGAGAAAGCGGGCCATTGGATACGCCCGGACGTAGCTTTAAATTGAATGAATTCTCCAACTTAAAACATGCCGAGGCTCCGTGTACTGCATATCCTTAGAATCCCGGAGCTTCTCAGTTGGACAAGACAGTCCTTTTCTACAGGGCAAATATTCATTTTCCAAAAAGGGCCAAACATCTTTCGTGATAGAGGAGTCCAGAGTGCAAATGAAAAGTGGAAACACTTTTCAGGACAAGTCATCAAGTAATTGGTCCAGATAGGCAACTGTGTGGAGACCAGAGTTCATTAGAGGCTCCCAGGGATGGGAAGTGAGGGAAAAGGAGGAATCGTTGCTTAGGGAGCACTGAGTTTTGTTACGGAAACATTTGGAAATGAACAGTGGTGGCGGTTATGCAACCTAATGAAACTAGTTAAAGTCACTGAATTGCATATGGAAAAAAAAAGTTAAAACGGCAAACGTGATATGTATACACACACACACATATATATGCCATGTTAAAAACAAGTATCCTAGTTCAGATGCTCCGGCTTGGGAACACTAATGATAATTTTATTAGGGAAGGAAGAGAAAATGAAAATAGAAGTTCAGAGATATCATCACTAGATATTCCTAACCATTGACTGTGTTTTGCTCTTTCCTTCCTGACTGTAATTGTCCAGGTGCACTTTACAGAGCAGTAAACACTTCAGGACTAAAGCTTTCTTGACCCAAGCGATAGTACTTCCAGTCACCTCATAGGCATGCAAATACGGGGCAATGGATAATAAAAAGGGAAAAACTGATGCATTTGAATTATGGCACTGGCAAAGAATGTGGCCTATACCACGGGCTGCTAGACAAACACGCAGATCTGTCTTGGCAGAAGTACAGCCAGGATGCGCTCTAGAAGCAAAGATGTCCAGACCTGGTCAGTACTTCTCCAGTACTTTGGGCATGGCCTCCGGAGCAGCCTGTCCCTGGGGAGGAGCATCGTGCTTGATGAAGTGTAGGCCGCAGAGGAAAAGAAGACGGCCGTCAATGAAACCGAGCGACACCAGGACCGCAAAGACAGGCTGGTGCCATCGTCCCAGGACCGGACGGTGTTTTGTTCTGTTGTATGCAGGGTCGCTGTGGCTCAAAATTGACTTGGCAACACTTAACAACAGCTATCAGTGCATGCACAATATCAAGTCTGTTTTCTCACGAAACAGCTTCCCGCATTGCTAGACAGCCTCCAGATTATTTGTAATGGCTGTGGAGTAAAGCATCCACTAGTGGTGCCCTCCTTTGCCTCGTCATTCTGCTCTTCTGAAATAGACG